GAATAGATTTCTTTTGTTGGGTGCTGCTCTTGTAGTGTAATTTGAGATTTTGATCAATAATTAGGAAAAGTAATAAAGTGTCTGCAGTTAAATCTTCAAAGGCTCTCTAGAAATATGAAATAATGGTGAGGCTAGAGAGAAAAAAACGTAATTCTTTTTGCAATCAAATTACTGCTGCCAAAAAGCTAACTGAAAATGAAATTGTAAACAGAGGAAATTGTAGATATTTCCTTCTTCGCTGATGGAGTTTCATAAGTTTATCTTTTTATAATAAAAATAATTTGATATTGTTCAAGTTTCGATTGGAATAGATTTCTTTTGTTGGGTGCTGCTCTTGTAGTGTAATATGAGATTTCGATGAATAATTAGGAAAAGTAATAAAGTGTCTACAGTTAAATCTTCAAAGGCTCTCTAGAAATATGAAATAATGGTGAGGGTAGAGAGAAAAAAAAACCTAATAAGTTGGAAAATCTCCGGAAGAGACGTTAAAAGCTCTCGGATCTAAAATATAAATATAAGAAAATTGGTTCTGGGCTCGGGTCTGTGGATGCGGGACGAGACCAGAGCCACGACCACATAAAGAGGGCGAAAGTGGTTCGCTGTTCACGGCTGATAAAATTTCCACCACCGCCTCCGTCTCCACCCCGAATCCGAGCGCGAATTTGGCACACGGGCGAAAATACGAAGGAGTGAAAAAGGGATGGTCGGTCGGATGGATGGACGAAAAAGAGGCTAATAAAAATATAAGAGGATTTGCGAGGAGGCGTGTGATGTAACACGCGGCTAATTAGATTCAATTTTAATACGGTTCTCGGCCGAGTTCAGTGGATTAACGTCGAACCGGCTGACAGGTGAAAAGTGTTTACGGTCAATGGAGCTCTTCCTGATCCCATTTCTCCCGGATCGAGACCGGGGGATTACAAGAATGGGATCCACTTCATCTCCTTGCATCCATCCACCTTCGAAAACCCCATTATATTACACGCCTGATACACAGTTCATCCCCTTTTCCAGATTTAAGTCACCGAATGCAAGAAAAATATGTTTTCGCAATTGCTTCAATTAATTGCTTTGTCGATGAAATCAGATAGATTTGGGATTTGTATTGTACTTTTTTTTTACATGAAGGAGAGTGACACGCAGATAAATGATAGGAAAATGAGCGAGCTTCTCTCCTCGCGACCCTCGAGGCCCAACCAGAAAGAAATATGACGAAGAATTTGCATAAACCATTTGTTTCCTTTTCAAAGTTTACACAGAGATGCATTCCGAATAGCAAATAGCACGTCTCGTTTCCATTCCCTTGTCCTTAGACTCCAGCGCAACCTCCATCATGATTACGCGCCTCCTCTTTTACAATTCATTCCATTAAACTCTACATTCTTCACTTTTCAACTCTGACATCACCAAAAGAAAAAAGCCAATTTCAAAAATAGCATAAATAATTAAATAAATTATGTAAGTTTTCAAATTTACTTTATTTTCATCAACTTCTCAATAACATTTATTAATTTATAAGTAAGACACAAATGATATGTTCAAATCAAAATTTTATGGGATTGCTTCAATCAGTGGATCAGCCATTAGAAAAATATTGTAATACTTGGAACTCCTCCTTGCAATATCATAAGCTGTTTCATTGGAATTATTCTGAAGCTCTGGCTTGATGTACGGATGCATCAACAGCACTTGCACAGTATCATAGCAAGACCCATGAGAAGCGGCTATATGCAATGGGGTTTGTTCTAAAATCATTTTCATATAATTTACGTTCATAACTAAAAACAATTATATTTGATTACTCCCTTGACTGAGTGCATTGACGTCAGCGCCGTGCTGCAGCAATTTAACCACAATTTCCTTATGGTTCCATTGGCAAGCTGAATGCAACGGTTCCCAGAGCATCTCAGTCTTGGCCCCAATGTCCGCACCCATTTTCAACAAGTAATCGACAATTTCCAAATGATTAGCATAGCAGGCTCTGTGCAGAGGCGTGTATCCATCCTTATCCTTGTAATGCACCAAGTTCGGGTGGGCTTTCAGTAGCTCCTTCAATTTCTCCAGCTTTCCCTCCTCCGCAGCCCACAGAATCTCCTTCTCCACAGTTTCTACAGATTACCTAGATCAGTCGCAGGTAAGATGAATATAAGAAAAATTCACCATGGGGATTCGTCTCAACATCGTAATCCTCCAAATCTTCCTCCCAATTGCTCACCAAAAACCTATTGCTAGACTCGCTCTCCATTTTACAATAGATTCTCTAAAAAATCAACAGATCTTGAGCGTAACCTCAATATTTAAACTTTGAATTTGTTTCCAAGATTTACAACTGGATGGAGCTGTCGCTATTTGGAATAGATTGTTCAATAATTTTTACATTAAATTTTAAAATTTTATTAAACCTAAATATAAAATAATTATACAGTATTATATTTTCTTTTTAAATAAAAATATAAACATTTGTAATTTTAACAGCTCCAAAACGCATGAACTATAAACTCTTTGTGTAGTCTAAAAGATGGCCAAAGGTATATTAAATTTTAAGAAAATCTCGTTTACAATTAATATCATTACTGCATTTCTAAGCTTAATTCCATTATTGACAATAATTTTAGTCATCTGTAAAATATAAAGTAGAGCTTCATTTCGCATTTCCTAGTAGCTCCATCTTTTCAATACTAATTTAACTATATAGTCTTGCTTTTTTTGTTTGAGGACAACGTGTTGTTTGTTTGTTGTTAGTAATCAAACCAAGTATTTAGTTATATTATATCTATTGTATGGTTTTGATGAATTACTTAGAGTGTTTATGTAAAGGTTTGCTGGTCGAAATGATAGAGAACTCACTTTCATATTTAGAGGTAAATACATTTTGCATTACTTATTGTTTCTTAATTGTGTGTATAAACATTGTAGGATCATGGAAGTATGATCTGTTTACAATCACCATTCAGTCGACCCCCTCAAATACCTGCAACACCTGGATTCGATTTCAACGAAGCTTTGGAAAATCTGTTTCCCTTGACGGATATGATCTGTGTCCATTTGGAATACCAGGATTTGTTATCTGTATCAGATATATCGGATACATGGAAGATAAGTGCCAAGAAGGAGCTATCGAAAAGGGACAAGATTTCGTGGATTTGTTTGAATGGAAGCCAGATAGAAATGAGTGATAATTTTAAGGAAATGGATAGAAGAAATTCACTGTTTTTCTACGCATTTCCAAATCTTGTGCTTAACAAAGAAGTTTGCATGCACAAAGATGAAGCTGAGAGTATGCCTTGTGAGTATTGAATTGGAGAATGTTATCGAAGAAGAGATAATTAGATTTTATTTTTCAGTTTATGCCTTCCTTGATGAACACATTATGCGGCAGCACAAATATTCAAAAAACTATGCTTGTATTTCTGTGAAAGACATACCTCTCTGTGAGATAGGAAAGAAAAAGACTAAATGTAAGTAACCTTTTTTGAAATTTTAATTTATTATTATTGCTATTTTTTTTCTTTTTTAGTATCAACATATTATTGCATAGGTGTAATGTTTCCAGTAATTCCAAATATAAGAATATTGAAATTTTATTATAAACTAAACCCAGCGACTAATATAAAAGATATTCTGAGGAATGATGAGGTGGTGAAAGCGTTGATAGTATTTGGCATCACGAATCCTAAAAAAGAATTGAAGAAATTGAATAAAGATCTTCGCGCTTGGCAGGGTGACACCTTCGCGTTGGGTGGTGGTTTGGTTTGGGGTATAAATGTGATTAGCCCGCATAGGCAAAGCTTCGTTATGCCATCCAGTTTATATTGCATTGCTTTTGTGGAGGAGAATAGATTCGATCATACTTTCTTTTCAGCCACCGCCATCATTAGAGAGAGTCACTCTTTTGAATTTAGATTAAATTCAGTAAGTATCCAATTGGTTTATACTTAATATAAAATACCTGTAAGAAACGACAAAGGTAAATTAATGCTATACCTTAATGAATTTAATAATTATACTATTTTTTTTCCCTTAGTTCCAGCAGTCGGTGGAACACAGGGAGCAATCGGTGATGTTCCGGTTTTGTTGCATCGAAAAGATTGAAAATCTTGAGGACAAACTGATACGATATTACTTTCCAAATATCGTTTTGATACCGATGAGGGTGAACGGCGAAATCGGATACGATTACAATTGGAGATACTCGAGTAATCTAACCAGTCTATGATTATTCATACTTATTGTAGTTAATTTTGTTGGATTTTCAGAAACTCCGAAACCTGTGTTCAATCATAGAGATGGCTCGGGCTTCTGCCTCGAATACACGACGGTTCTGGTTTACTTGACTTGGGGCGATTTGGTGAAGCCGCAGAAAGGCCCGAGGCCAAAGGAACTTGACGAAATGTTTTAAGTAAGAGAAACAAAGTTAGAAATAACTTATTTATTTTCTTTTATAACTGAATTTGGATGGGGGTAGAAATTATATATAAAAAAGAACAACAAAAAAAACACTTTAAACTACTCCCCTATAATCGGCTTATTCAATTTCAGATACACAAATGTAAATAGGAAAACATACTCGACCAAAAGCATTCAGCAAATCATTAACAATCAAGTTTTTTCGTCGTCTCTTTTAAGAGCAAGGATTAAACAAACAAAAAGTATTTATTTTAAAGCAATGTATGTACAGATGAGAATTACAAGATGGTTTTCTTCTTTTAACGTTATTACTTTTCGTATTTTCATTTGGAATTCTCACACAACACTAGAAATTTGAATACAGACTACAACAGCAGCCTCGAACATTAGCCGCGATTAGCTATGAGCGCAGCCCTCTTCTTTTCCACGCATTCGGCGAACTGTTGCACCTCCTTGGCGCACCTCATCGGTTCATCCTTGTACTTTTTGTAACACGCTATGATATCGGCCCTCTTGTGGGTGCACGGGATCGTCTTCTCGTTGTTCATCTTAGTGATCTTTCCCTCTTCAACCTTTAAATAAAACACGTCAGAAACACGATCAGTGCGAACAGTGTATAAACTTCATCTTACGGCTTTTTGGAACTCCTGCTCCATGATTTTGTGCATCTGCTCGTGTCCCTGCTGCAAGCACTCGATCCTCTTGTCCCAGTAGTCATCATTATCCTTCAACGCCTGCACCTGCGATTGTCGAATTTGAATTGAAGTTAAACTAGGTTCATACAGAAATGGGGCCTGTCCAACTGGTACTTGTTGCGGTCCTGCCGAGTAGGTCTGCTTGCTTACCCCTGCAACCAATTAGCTAATGTCACTTTGACAGAGCACATCAATATTGGGTTATGTAATCCAATAAGAACATCACTAAATTTAACTCCTTTTTTTTTTTTTCGAAAACTATTTAAAAACTATTGCAAACTTCTTTTGAAATCTCAATGAAGCAGATAAATCAATATATCCTTGCTCCAATTAAAGCCTCTGGAAAGGAAGATTTAAAATTCTGCTTCAATACAATAAAAAAAAAAGTTTAGGGTGTAATGAAATATCGTTGATGTTTTTAAAGGGTTTTCAATGGGAATTTTGGTAGAGCCTTCGGATGATTTTGTGCATGGAATGTATGTATGTAACCTAACCTTCTTTTCCTTTCATTCTCTCGACGACTTCGTCGGACACCTTAATCACGCTCATCGGATTGTTGTTCTCGATCGTTAGTTTCCTAGGTCTGCTCTCTGATGCTCCCATGGTTTCTTCTGCTGCGGTCCTCTTCGTTCTTCACTAATCAAAATACATACATGTATACATAGAAAAAAATAATTTTATTTTTCCTTCTCGCAGATTTGCTACAACTTTGCTGTCATTTTGAGATTACCTGTGGACGTAACACTCGATGCACTAGATGTCGCCACCACTGATCAACCACTTGATTTTTAATTTCAATTTGAAAATCTTACACTCAATTATATATAAGTTTTCTTAATTTCTCTAAATTTAGTCCATACATAGTTTATAAGTTTTCATGTAGTCTCATATTGATATATTTTCTATACACCACAACTTATTTAATGATTTAATACTTTTCTAACTTATTTTCTTTAATCATTTTTATTTCCAGTTTTTTATAATTAAAAGATATTTTGTCTGTATTTGAACCTTCCTCTTTCAGTCTTCTATTTGTAACAAAATTCCAAATCATGTTCTGTAACTAATTCGCTGTACTGTATACTTTAGAATTAAAATAACAGAATTAGGTATAGAAAGAGACTATCTTAAGGTTCAATTTTCATTGGAAATTACTTAAGTATTGCTCGTGAAAAGGTTGTAAAACAAATAACATTGTAAGAGGGGAATGTTTGAAAATGTACTGTTTTGCATAAAAACGCATATATTTAAATTAATGTGCATACATAATTCGAATCTAATTTCATTGCAGACCTACGAGAGTTACGTCTACGTGACGTATCAAACGTTTTACGTCACGGTTAGAACGAGAGGAACTCTGTTTGTGTATCGTCCTCTTCTACTTCTCTCCTTGTCCACCTTTGTTGCAGAGATAGAGAGAGAGAGAGAAAGAAATACGTCGGTGCAACAGACGTGCATTATACATACATGTATATTGATATATATTTCCAAGCTCGAGTTTTGTTACTCAAAAGCAGTCGGTTGAGATGAGCAGATCGTGATAATGGCGAGCAATAATAGCAAGTGCTGGGATGAGAGTCAGCTGAGGAATTACGATTTGAACCTGGAGCAAATACCTAGGCTGCACTGCGACGATCCCGCCGTCGACGAACTAATTGCGGCGAATGTAAATAGAATTATTCATTATTCAACGTATAAATTAGCAATTATCGATTCGCAACAGCAGCAGCATTATTATTATTTACAAACATAACCTGTTAACGTCCTTTGTTTTTGTTTACAGAAACCCGTTGTAATCACCGGTTCGAAACTGGTAGAGTCGGCGCGAAAATGGGATCTGGACTATCTGGAGCAGAATATGGGATCTGGAGACTACACAGTGTTCATCTCGCAGAACCACAAATTCAAGTATTATGATGAGAAGAAGATTGCCAAGACCAGTGGGTTTGTGCCACCAACGAATAAGTTGGACATGAAGTTGCCAGACTTCATGAAGAGGCTCAGGAAATGGAAGAGAGGCGATGACAGGTATTGTCAGTAATTGTTTACATCAATTATTGTGTTATAAGACATTTGTTAATTGTATTTGCAGGATGTATTTGCAGCAGGGTTTGAACAACACTGTGGGGCCAGAGATTGTGAAAGACTTTTTGAAATTTGACTGGGATTTCTGTTCAGGTAAACAGAACAAGCACCACTGGGGGCCGTTGACTTCCAATTTGCTGTTGATTGGCATGGAGGGTAATGTCACACCTTGTCACTATGATGAGCAGCAGAATCTCTTTGCTCAGGTCCATGGTCACAAGAGGTGCATCCTTTTTGCTCCTGATCAATTTGAATGCTTGTATCCACATCCAGTCTTCCATCCACACGATAGGCAAAGCATGGTGAGTTATTTCAATTAATATTAAGTGCATTTTAAATCACGTTCTCTGCAAACAGGTCGATTTCGATGAACCTGATTACAATACGTTTCCGAAATTCCGGCAAGTTCGTGGCTGTGAAACTGTACTGGGGCCGGGCGAGATACTCTATATTCCAATTTACTGGTGGCATCACATAGAGTCGTTGATGCGCGGAGGTCACACCATTACCGTGAACTTCTGGTACAAAGGTGGTGCCAACACTTCGGTCACCTATCCTTTGAAAGACCATCAGAAGGTCGCGATCATGCGTAACATTGAGAAGATGTTAGTCGAAGTCTTACAAGATCCTAAAGAAGTTTCTCCGCTACTTAGGGCAATCGTTTTGGGTCGCTACACGGAATGATGATTACCTGCGTAAACCAATCTTATGTATTATTATCTGTATATAGATTTAAATATTATGGAAAAACAAAACTATTAGATTAATCTGCTAGGGTCGAAGTTAACTTTGAAATTTCATTTTAACTATTCAATGATGTTTTAAACAATTTACCTGATGACTGCATTTGTGTTTGATGCAATTGCAGCAGTCTCAGAGTTAACTCTTAAATCATCTATTAAATATAGCTTTAAGATCGATCAAAGTGAGGAAACTGATGTATTAATATTTTTTTATCATATTTATTGTACTATTTTTTTTTATTTATACAAATTAGTATTATTTAGGAATGAACGAGACAAAATTATTAAGTAATGATATCATTTTATATTTCTGAATTTATTCGGGTAGCAAATCATCTCCGATTTGATCGTCGGCGAAGTCGTCAAAGTCCAACGGTTTTCCGGCCTGAGTTCGTGGCCTGCTCGGCAATGGTCCCAGTGGATCCACGTACGTCGTATCTACAAGACATTGAAACTATATTTTTTGGTACAGTTGAGTAAACATCCACATGTGATACAATCAATAAATCATTAATAATTTACCTCAAAATTGATGTTACTTACCGAGCGTTGGTTGTGCGAAACCAGAATCTCCGCTCCCTGCACTGTTGTGCATCTGCGTTAACCTGGATGTCCTTAAACGTCTGCTCCCCGAACCCAAAGGACTCACGTAGTTTCCGTTTTCAGGGACAGGACTGAACCCTGATCCCGCACGCGAAGATAAACCGCTGTTACTCCTGCGGGATCCCGGTCTGCTGCTTCCAACGCGTTCACGCACCTCCTTGGACTTTTCCAATTTTTTCAACTCCAAAGCGTAATCCTGAGCTTCACGCAACCCCAGATCACTGCACAAACGAACCAGAAATCTCAAACACTCGACGCTTTCCGGAAACTGCCTGTTTATGGCTTGGTATAATGTCAGAGCTTTGTGCAGGTTGCCGCTCCTCCTGTGACATCCCGCTACCATCATCTGCCATTTCGGATTGCTCGGCTGCATCACTGCTGCCTTCTCAAAGTACTTCAGTGCCTTTTCCACAATTTGCATCTCTATGTAATAAGAACCTAGCCAGTCGATCACCGATAATTCAGCCGGATAATATCTGAAAGACTTAAGTTCATATTTAATTAACTAATTTATATTTTAAATATTTCTATAGATTTTACGTCGATGTGGTAATGATGAGCCTGCTGTTTGTCTCCATCATGATCGTACAATTCTCCAATCTTTTGTAAAACAGTAGCGTCGGTAGGCACTAAACCTAATAATTGCTGATAGGCTTCAGCGGATGCTTCAGTGTCTCCGCTTCTCTCCAGTAACACGGCTATCTGAAAAACAACTTCGGGCAGCAACGCCAATGATCCAGTGAACTTTTGGAAACATTCCAAAGCCTCGTCGTTATTTCCTTGATATTTCAAGACCAATCCTAAAGCAAAGATTTATTTAATCAAAAGCATCACAAGATAATCAAGACATTACCCAAATTGTATAAAGCCTCGACGCTTGAAGGATCACAATCCAATGCGCTTACAAAGTAATTTCTGGCCTGATCGTAATTCCCTTTTCCAAACGCGCAAGCACCCAAATTCACAAATCCGCCTGCGTTGTATCCATCAGAATTTTTAACAATTTCGCCGTACTTCTCGGCATTATCAAAATCTCCTTGCTGGAAAAAGTAACTGAGTATTAAAATAAATATTATAAAATTTTAAATTTTACCAAATAGTAAATGAAACTCAAATTGGTTGCAGCGCTCGTGGCTATTGTTGACTCTTTATCGAATGCCTTCAACGTTTCTATTGCTTCGTTGAGTTGTCCTTGCTTTAAGAACATCACAGCCTTGTTTATTTCCAATTCACCAGCCAGACGCGCGTATTCAGAACTTTTAATCGTTTCCACGCACCAATCGTATCCTTAAAAAATGTCTATTATAATTATTTAATAGCAAATATCGAATGGATTTACCATCGCTAAATGTGTCTTCAATTAAAGGGGCAATCAGTTTAGCCGCAGTGAGTATGCAATGTTCAGCATCGGACCTTTTCTTCATTTCATATACGTGCAAATCATCGTTTCTAATTGCAGAAGCAATTAATATATCTTCCTGGTTATCCTGCAATCAAAATCATTAATTATAATATTGATTCTTCAAAAATTGTTATTACTTGATCTGAACTGTATTTCTCTTCGTCTTCGAGTTCTAAAGGAACGGCGAGTAGAATCGAAAAGGAGCTGCGCATTCGGTCTTTATCCTCCATGGCTCTGCAGCAGATCACCAGATGTAGACCAGCCCTGTGGTTGGGCTGCTCGCTCATGATGTATTCCAAACTGGTAATAGCTTCCTCGTACTGCCCCATTTTCACGAAGACCATTGCGATGTTGTGCATGATCTTGATCCTCAAATTCTTCTGACTGCTCGGCACCTGATCCAACGCCATCCGGTACATCTTGATCGCTTTGTGGAATTGACCCTGCGAGTAGAAGATGTTTCCCATGTTGACTTTCAAACGGTGTGCGTTCGAGAACATCCGGTTCTTCGTGATCAACTGGTAAGTGTTCAAAGCTTCGGTGAACAAATCGTTGGCTGCGTATTGATTTGCCAAGGTGAAGAGCACGGAGTACGTTAAATCCATGTTGTGGTGATCCCCAAGTCCAGACTGCTCCTGCATCCTAATCAAACTTCGCTCCTTATTTGAAGCTTCCTTAGCTTTACTCAATGCCTTCCTATTATTGCCTTCGCTACTTGCTAAACAAGATTCCTCCACCAGCTGCATGATCTTCAATTCCTGCACTCTGATCTTCTCTTCCGGCCTGTACAAAATCATTTAAATTTAAATACAATTCCATCAATTGTACAGAAACGTTATTACGAATCGTCCTTTTGAATTTCCAATGCCGGAGCTGGCGTCATCGCAGCTTGATTGAAAGGATCGAACATCTGCTTCTGCGAAGTGTACCCGGCGCCTCTTACCGCGGTCATCGGTCTGTTAACTCCTTCGCTTCCGGTTGGTGGCCGGAATTGCGTTCCAGGACGAAATGCCGTCCCAACCAGTGCCGTTGATTGCCTTTGAAACTAAACACGTAACATTAAATTCAATTGATCCTGAAAACATTAACATTCCAGTTACCCCAGTCGACGTTCCTAAACGCATAGCGGATCCAGGCTTAGCACTCGCCATCCTCCTGCTCGGATCCGCGCTCATCAGGATACGATTGAAAGCCTCGTCTTCTTTCACATTTGATAAATCGTATAAAGGATTGGATGTCTTGAAGAGGGCTTGCATCTCTGCAGTATCATCATCTTCTTCAACTATTCTCGACATTGTTCTTTGTTTTTTTTTTCACTTCTTACCTGAAAAGAAAATTATTTTTTTAAATTACAATTTAACGCTTTAACGTTTATCAAAATTGTTAAACTTACGATAACTTAAATTGAAATTTCTTTGTTATTTGTGAAATTCCTATACAAACATTGAAATTCATCAAGCGCATGTCTATTTCGTGTAATACAAACAAATTATATCGATTTTCACAGATCCTACTACTTATTCTAATCAATAATTAAAATATTTCTATGTAATTAGCGCAAAATTAATTGAAATATTCTTAGCAAAATTGTTGAGAAAAGTTTTTCAATTGCGTTAAAAGTATTTTAATAACACATTTTCTAATGTATTTGAAAACAAAACAAAAATATCTTAATTTATAAAATTTTGAAAGTTATAATACAAATAAACAGATATATTTGTATATTTTTTACTTGTTTATAAATTTATTCATCTTCTGAACAAATATTTTGTCTATTTATTTACTTCTATAATTATAAAGTTATCTTATGTTTGCATAAGAGGTAGTTAAATATATTTTATGGCTTTGCATGCAATATAAGTTGCATACATTATTATATATCATTAGAACTGAACTGGAGCCAACTTCTGTGCGTTGAAAACATTTCAATTGATTCCAGCAGGTTCTTCTTCGGACGAGCACTTGCATTCACTTGCTTTCAAAAGAACATTTGGAAGCATGCATTTGAGGAGCGGCGGTGGTGAAGGTGTTGAAATCTGTGTGCGCCAAAGGACCGGATGGTAACGGGGGGGAGGCTATGACCGAAGGATATGACCTATTCATCATTATAACATTTGTGCGAATTAATAATATTTGTATTCGATAAAATGGCGACCGTGGATACGACCAGGTACGTTGATTTGTGCAGACTGTGTGCAACCAAGACGAACATGGTTATGGGCTTGAGCATCTTCGACAGTGAAGGCTCCGTCAGACAGATCTACAAGAAGATTGAAACCTGTCTTCCGGTCCAGGTAAGAGAATACCCTTTAAGGTTACCTCTATTTACAAACATCACAAAAAAAATATTATATAAATATTGCACCTACCTCTTAATTATCTGCCTTTAAAATTACAATTTATTGCATTGATGATGACGATATCTGCAACCACCCAATTGTTTTGTTGTTTTGAAGACTTCTGTGGTTGTCATGGTTGCATTGTTTAAATTGTTGCCCTGATTTCAGATACACGAGAATGATAATTTGCCAAAGATGATCTGTGACCATTGCTTATATAAGTTGGAGATGCTCTTTGATTTCCATCAGAGGTCCTTGCGAACTGAGAGCATCCTTGTGGATTTGTTCAAGGAGCTCAGTCAGCAGGTGAAGATGGATGATGTCTCTTTGGAGCACTCTAATTTGGTGATGGTGCATCACCAAGGATTACTTTCGGAACACGGAATGCCGCACATGAACGAGCTCAACGAACACGAGCTCGAAGTGCTCACAAATCGCGAGCATATCATCGCCGGACACGAGATCATCCAGAACGTCTCTCTAGATAACATCGAGTTATCCAATCACGAGTTAAACCATGAGTTGTCCAATCATAGCGAGGGCATGCTGCAAACTGCGAGATATCCGGACACCATAGCCTACCATCATCATCACATCTTGCCTGAACAATACAATTTGAACGATATAACGTTGTCTGCGCCCAGTTTGGAGCATTCCCCGGAGATCAACACTTTGAAAGAGATGAAATCTGATACGGATTGCGGATTACTCATAGAGGAAAAGAGCTTGTTGCATGTGGCCGAAGTGGACGAAGGCGAGTTAGAGAATAACTCTAACGAGACTAATTTTAGTTTCTATTGCAATTTGTGCGGAACACCGTTCGAGGATAAGGAAGATCTGGACAAGCATTACCTCGAACATTACCACAAGTGCAGCGTGTGCTTGGCTAGTTTTGCGGAGAAGGAGGATTTGATCGCGCACGAGAAAGACCATCAAGTCGATTTACTGGATGAAAAAGCACCTAGCGTAAAATCCGATCGCATCCAAATTGAATCTTTTTTTTCTATTGTTTTGCTTCCGTTACAGCCTGTTCCCATCGAGGAGAAGCGGCCGTCCACCGACAAAGAGATCAGCGATTTCGAGAACAACCTGGATGAAGAACCTATCGAAGAGGAGGACTCTTCGGGTGGTACCGGCAAAAAAAAGAAATGGACTCCTAAGGTGTGCAAGGAGTGCGGAAAATCGTATAAGACCAACTATAAATTGGCGGAACATATGAGAAAACATACCGGGGAGCAACCGTTCAAATGCCAGAGCTGTGATAAGGCGTTTAGGTCGAAAATCGGATTGGCGCAACACGAGGCAAAGCACACAGGTACAAAAAAAATATTACGAAATATTTCATTTTCCGTTTCATGATATTCTTTTAGGACAATACGATTACGCATGTTTGACATGCGGGAAGGGTTTCCAATGCAAGAGTTATCTAATGGTCCATCAAAGGGTGCACTCCGATGAGAAGCCTTATCCTTGCACGACGTGCGGTCGCAACTTCAAGACGAAACAATCTCTTCTCGATCACACCAATCGTCATTTGGGCGTCAAACCGTACACTTGTGATATCTGCGGAAGAAGTTTTATAACTAATGGTAATTACAATTATCTATAAAAAAAAAAACCTTAAATGTATGATTTTCTTTTGTAGGTTTGCTAAAGTCGCATCAAAAAATACATTCCGGTACGGACAATCGGAAATATTTGTGCAAAGTTTGCGATAAACGTTTCGTTTCCAAAAGCTATCTGCAGACTCATCTCCGAATCCACACCGGAGAGAAACCTTTCATGTGTGAGGTATGAACAATTTCCTTTTACCTTAGCTAGTAGTTTTTCATCATTTTCGAAATACGTAACTTATATCAATTGTTGTAGGTATGTGGAAAAGGATTTTTAACCCGCGTTGATCTGAAGATCCACTCGACAATGCACACAGGAGAGAAGTCTTACGTCTGCGAGATGTGCGGTAAAGCGTTCGCGCGTCGTGACGCCTTGCGATGCCACAGGAGATCTCACACGGGCGAAAGACCTTACAGGTACAATATTCATCCATCATTCATCCTATAACAAAATCAAATATCGTTTATATCTTGCAGTTGTGATATTTGTGGGCAAACATTTACTCAGTTTTCCCCTATGGCGATACACCGGCGGTTGCACACGGGCGAAAGACCGTACGAGTGCGAGACCTGCGGCAAGAAGTTCGTGTCCAGATCGACGATGGTCGTGCACTCCAAGAAGCACACCAGGTGAAATATGATGCAGACGCCGTTCATTATCATTACTTTCGAGTACTTCTTGATATACACCCTTCAGTTTTGCCAAAGCAATTCGATTTCTTTATTGTTCATATATATATTATTTTTTTTGTATTATGCGTTAATTAATTATCTGATTAATTTAAATAAGACTGCGTATGTAAGATATTTAAAAAAAAAAGGATCACGAAGGAGATAATAAAATTGTATATTCGTAAATCAATTTATTAAAGAAAATAATAATTATTTGACAGATTGATAAATCTTATTAAACTAAATATGTTATATAGTATTACTTGTATTCAATATTTTTTGACAATGCCTCAAAGAATCCTTCAGCTTGTAAAGCAAATCCTGCAATTCCTGTGTATCGCAACAGAATGTAACATTTCCCATCTGCTTTTCATTAGTTTCTTGATCAAATTGCTCTGTGATCAATTTCACTCGAAAAAGGGGACCATCAGATTCGTCCAAAGCATAAGACTACAAACGAAATTTATTAAAGAAGTTAAACTCGAAGTTACTAAAGCACACCTTTAAAATGTAATCAATGCTCCATTCTACATCAACAACGCGTGATAGATGTGTGCCTATACTTCCAAGTTTGATCAGCAACTTTAGTTTATTGATTTCGAAAGGTCCTGAGAAATCTGCAGCTTTAATGCTTGGAAAATTGCACTCTACCATTAGGTAGGTCTCTATCATTTGTTTTGTGTACTTGTGTCTTGCAAATTCTGCAATTGCTATTAACAATGCTGCATAGAGCTCCTTCATAATATCAAGTTTAGAATTATCAAATTCGTTTAAGTCTGCAAATATATTAATTAATATTATAACATTAACTGTGATAATTACATACTTGCTGGTTTGTTATCTATGATTCCTTGGAAGCAAATAGTAATTAATTTTCTAAATGTGGTCTCAGTAATTAGATTGGGATTGCTTACATATTTAAGCACCCTTTTAGTGTTTTCATTCAAAACCATACTGACTAGATGTTTGGATTAATACTAAACAATAAGAAAATTAATAGAATCAAAGGCAATGTTTTCTTTTTGGTTCGAGATGACAACTAGTTAATCAATATCAAGGCAACTCTATATACAAAGTTAAAAGTTTGAAATTAACTCAATTTTATATAACTAACATAATATTAATAAAACTAATTGTTTTTTATATAATCAATATTGTAATAATGAGATTATAGTTAAAATAATAAATTAAAAATATTAGTATAGCATATTAAGTTGCCTATAAACAGCGCCAAAACTGCTGAACTATTAACCTACTTTCAAAGCATGCAACCAAACTTACAGAATTTAATTAAAAAATGTAAAACAAAAAGTTGAATGCAATTAATAATCAAAATTACACATATCGTATATTTATTTTATAATATTTACATACGCGTGAACACTGATATATTTTCACATTTAACTAACAGATTATTATTATTAATTATACTAATTTCATTTATTTCTTAACATTAATTTTGGCGATAGACACAAAGTTCTGCGATTGCAAATCAATTTGCAAGTTACAAACACATTTTCAGGATCATATTTCAATGTCCTTAACAGTTCTTACCGCCTGATAAATTCTACACTAGATTATGAAACATAGGGGTTTTGTTACGAGGATATCGCCTGCCTCTGTTATTGGTATCTTCAGATATTAAAATTCCTTTGTAGTATCTAAACTGCGTTGCACTTCACTATAAACTATAAGCAAGGTAAATCTCTTGTAATAAGCATATCATTTGAAACATCCATGGAATTGTATTTGAATCCTTTATTAGTTCTTCGTAGAACACGTGAACATTATGTATAAAGGTACATATTTCTTCCTGCATCTGTCTGCTCCTACAAAAAGGGAAATTATAATTTGCGTCGAACAGAATGAACTCATTTGAAAGACTATCGGAGTGAGATCTCGCTCTGTATATAATAAATAAATAAAAACCTAATCACAATTAAATTACAACATAATAGTAATACATCAACAACAACACCCTCTAAAATAACAATGAAGAATTTATTTAATAGGTAAAAACATTCGACCATCCAACAAAGGTCCATCCTTATGCCATATTCCTGATCTCGTGCAGTCTATCGCACGATGGCAACTTTATATTTTGAGCGTTCTGGTAGAGTTCACGATCGCCAAAGTTGCGAGCTTTCCAGATCATAGATTCGCCTGCAAACAAACAATACTTTTAATCATTCCCCATAGCATTTTCAGCAAACGAATGCTCACGGTAGTTCTTCTCTCTGTAGCAGGCATGTCGTAAGTTCGTCATAAACTCATCCTCTATAGTTCCTTCGAGTCGTCTCACAGAACCTTGATAGTCCGTGTGGAACGTTTCCTTAACGTAATATTCGACTCCCAAGTTGCTGGTCTTGCGTAAAATTGGATATTTACTAAAAAAGTAATAATAATTAATTGAATACATTAGAAATAAATATTGAATTTACACGCTAGCTTGTAGACTGTAAGCAGGGTCTGCGATGAATATGCTTGAAGCCATAGAGAGTAATATGGCTAACAAAATAGGTAACATTTGGAAAAGCATGGAATATCCGGATTGGTTATTCTGTAAATAAAGTTGCATTAATAAATTGAAATAATTACGAAATAAAACGCACTTCTCCTCTGTGACTGTGAGGAGTTTCCTGTGTGTTAGCTCTAGTCCATTGGGTTCCCCTTCTGTGGTTAGGGACTCTTGTCCCAAAGAACATGTTGAAGATCTCCTCCGGAGTGGCGTCAGCCTCAAAACCCCTTGTATACATGTTGGTTGTGGTGTAGCTGCTCCTGGACTGTCTGCTTATCCTCTCCTCATCCGGTCCATACAAATCATACTGTTTCCTCTTCTCGGGATCCGTCAGCACAGCCATAGCATTGCCAATCGCTTTGAAAGCCTCCACAGAACCTGGATACTTATTTTTATCTGGATGCAATTGCAGAGCCAACTTTTTGTACGCTTTTTTGATGTCAGAGTCTGCAGCATCCTTGCTGATGCCAAGAATCTCGTAATAGTCTTTGCATTTCTTAATTTTCAGCACAGCCTCCTTCTGATCTGCAGTGTACTCCGGCAGTGAGGGCTTCTCCGGTTTGGCAGATGCCTTCGGCACCTTCTTCTCTGGCTCGGAGGTGGGAGCCATGAATTTGATTTGCAGCAGAAGATCTGTCAAAATTATTAATAAATATTAGTCGTGACGTTTCTAGGGTGATCAACACTGTTTGAAGTGAGAGAGAGAGAGAGAACCTTTTGCCTTTTGCGTGGGGAAGAGACGTTCTGCCTTCTGTAGGAACTTCTCTGCCTTCTCACGGTTCTTCTCTTTGATGTATTTCTCGGCTATCTCGATGCACCGGTCCACTTCGCTCCTATTCGCCTCCATTGGATGGGATTTTTCAATATACACAAATCGCGACCAAAAAAATAAACCAAAATCTAGCACTATTATACCCACAAAATCCAATTAACCAATCAACTGTCATGTGTCAAACTGCTGGTCATCGCTTCAAACGCGCATGCGATTCTCCTGTTTGCATAACATTACCCATCTTATGCAACTTCTTTTGCACACTTTACAATTACATAATATTAAATGCTTACTTACATTAATTTACAAGCATTAACAATCACTGGGATTCAATATAAAACAAATATTAATTTCAAATTTAGTTATTAAACAGTCCAAACAATCAAAATTCTCCATTTGAAGATACAAATCCTATTGGGAATTGGTGGATGCGCCGGGTCCATATTATAATTTGTTTACACAATGATTAAATTTGTAAACAAATCAAGTAAACATGAACTGTTCTCATTACTTGAAGAACTGATAACTAAACAATACATTGTATTTAGTGCATTACGACATAATTAATCAGATTACAACATTTTCTTTGAAGAAGTTTTCTGATGCAATATATACGTATACAGTGAAACCTCGTTTAACGAGTTTAATACGTTCCAAAATAAACATAATATGTGTATACAAGTTTTAAAAATGATTTAGCAGGCGCGCAATCTGGGACTTCTCTTCTTATCGTCACTCGTTATGCAAAGACCAAGAACATCAACGAGCTTCAACAAGCAAGAAAGAGTACTGGAAAGTTATTGAGAAACATCCAAAGACAAAGAAGTTATAGGATTGGCAAATCAAGTATCCATCGTAGTTTAAGACGAATAAATGAAAAAGTTACATTACAAAACAATCAATAAAAATGATCCGGATCTAATGAAAGAATTTTGTAATTTTGTACTGTTTTCTGTGAAGATTGTTTGGATGGATGAAGCTCACCACTGGACTTTTTCTTGTGGTAATACTTTAAAGGAAAATTCTATGCCAGAAAACCGATAAAACTAGAAGAATTAAAAGCCACAATTGCACAAGAATGCGCTACAACACGAAATTAAAGGTTTGTTTAAGTTTGTGAAGTTGTGTATATTGGCTACAACTGTAATAATGTTGAACATCTGCTGTAGAAGGAAAAGTTATTTATTGGATGTATTTAAATAATAAATTATATAAGAATAAAAACTGAAGTAATAATCATTAAAACTGTGCATGTATATGTTTTTGATAATTTATGAAGACAGCACCAATCACGTCTTAGATACGTATCAAATAATTGGAATTAATCTGAAAATTAATCATCTTAATCATTATGAAATCAGATTTACTAAAAAGTTGCTTTAAAACAATTTGTGTCGTTAAGCGAGGTTCACAATTCTCCTACAATTTACCTTTCATTTTGAACATTTAACAAAATTTTCCTTATCTACTTTTATCATTTAATCAACTTACCATGGACCTCGAGGTCATCCACTTTAGAGCATTCACATTGATTAATTTACTAAAATTTGACATACTTATATTCTTTGTTTAAACAGTGATTTCATTAATTGTCAAGTCTTCATTTACTTACCATTTTTTAATCATTGAATAACAAAACATTACTATATCATTTCATCAGTACAATAAAAATGTACAACTTACCTTTTAGTAATAAATATCTGTTCATTAACGTTAACTGTTTAAGTAAATCGAATGGGTGAAAACGAAGAAAAAATAATTGAAAATAATAAAAATTTTGTCCAGACAATCAAACAACGAGAATTTTTCTTTTTTGTATGTTTTTTTTTTGCATTTTCATCATAATCGTATTATAATAATTATAATTTTGTTTTTTTTTCTGTTCTGTTTCAATTCATATTATTGTTTAGCATCGAACTACTTTATTTATTTTGAAAGAGGATTAATTAAATTAAAGTAAATTAAAAAAGAAACATCTCACTAAAAGTCTATGGTTAAACATCAACAAAAAAAAGAAAAAGAAACTTATTTCGTAGGTATTCAAAATTGAAACAAATCTAAAGAAAATCTATTACACTGTAATCACATTTAGATAAATATCACAAATCGGAGAGAATACCCACCCCCACAACAAAAGAAGAAAAAAAAACAACATATATTTATATAGATATAGATATATATAAATAACTGTGACTTGAATCAGGGATTTCATAACTCATAATGAGAGAGAGTTAGAGATATTTATAAGATATAGAGAGAAAGAGAAATATGCTACTACTCCGATCTCGTCATCATCATCATCATGAACATCATCACCATCGTCAGTTACCGAATTATTATTATCTCTGCAAAAATATTGTATCATCTTTGATCACTCGTCGTAACAAACAATTAAAGAAAGACAAATTAAAGGACAATAATCGTATATTAAAGCGGTTCGCGTTTAATTCGAAATTCGTTATGAAATCCTTACAGTTTTCCATTTCGAAATGTCGCAAAACATACTTGAAAATATATGTAATAACATTGATTTTTTAAGGAAAAATCTGTCGGTGAAATGGTGGGAAATGACCGCCAAATTTCGGCGCATTTCCGAGCATCCACATCGACGGGATTTCCGCACGTCATCATCGCCGCATACTAAAAAAATATATCATCATGTAGGCCGAATTTATTTTCACCTCAACTCGTTCCATCAACTTCTTCATATTTTTTCACGTTTCCACTTTTGATTATACAAAAAAACAAAAATAAAAATAAAATAATAATAAAAAATAAAATAATTAAACTAGATAACATATATCGTTTCAAATAAATACAGAAAAATTGTACATCACAGCATCATATTTAATTCTACATATTTTTTTTCCTTCTTCATTTCACTTTCTTTTTGGGGGAGAGGAGCGGAGAAGACGAGACCGCTCGCAGCTGACGAAGTTCCCAATTTTTTTTTTCTTCTCTCGTGTTTCTTTGAAAATCAGCACACAAAAATTTGCCGCAGCGTTCGTTTTAATTGAGTAAACTTATTCGAAATGAACTTTGCCAACTGAGAGAACCGGCCGCGATCTGCTCGCTCCTTCCTACAACAATCTCCATACGCGCGCTTACAAACATACATATACACAATATTACATCATCATATCGTCTACTTCGTAATCATCATCATCATCATCTCTTCATCATCATCAAATCGCTAACACAAATTGAAAATAAAATAAACAACAATGCAAAACATCGTTTTTGTTGCCCGTTTTCACATTTTCGACGCGGATGTAATGAGAAAATAATAAAAAGATTTTGAAAAAGAAATAATTATACAGTAATATTAATAATAATAATCCCTACCGCACGAAAAAGAGAAAAAAAACAAAACACGAATTAAGTAACAAACAAAATTAGCGGGGGGGGGGATATAATAATTAATCATTAACGTTATAGAAATTACAAAGAAAATGTACAATAAAAAAAAAGAAAATTGTGTTTGTTACCCACATTTAACAGTCGATCAATTTCGCGATAGAAACAAAATAAAATTGAATCAAATCAAAGTAAAAGAAACAAAATACAATTAAATAAAAGAGTTAAAAACAAACAAACAAAAAAAAACATATGGCAGTGTAACATATTTAAACGTAAAAACAAATGATATATAATATTACGATAATTAAACATAAGGATAATTAGATTTAAGAAGGAAGAAAACAAAGATACAAATAATAATAATAAAAAAAAACGTTACTAATTAATACTGAGATCAAAAAAAAAAAAACAAACATAAAATTGA